AGGGATTATATCCTTTTTTTTAAGTCTCTAACAGTGCCTACCACTAATGACATGCCCCGATGTTCACTGAGCAGTTGATTAGGACATTCGTAAAATATTTTGCTTAAATTGGTGCTTTATTCACGCTTTCTGTGGGAAATCCCAAATATATTTTGGCTCTGCACAATATGTGCAGGCCTCAAAGAGGAAAGTCTGGAAATACCACCCAAGGGCTGTGAGAGATGGTGAATTGCATTCTCTCTTAGTTACAAAGCTAAAGATTTCAACAGTATCTTCTCTGAAGAGGAGGATCAACAGCTTGAACAAAAAATTTCAGCTATTTTAAGCTTTCCTGATTATTTAGGCAGCAAACATCCTGACACAAAATGATTGTTTATAAAGTATGTTGGGTTCCACACATGAATGAGCTATTGACAGGGAACGAGGAGTCGTCTCTTACGTATTTCTTTGACATATAACACTGAACTCATTTCTAAATGAGGAAAGTACCTTGTTTAAAGGGACAGGAAAAAAACTTTTCACTTAGAAAAAAACTACATGGCAAAAATAAATCAGATTTGGAGGAAATTTTGTGTAATACCAATGATGTTAAGAAAATTGCTGTTCTTTTTCTATATGACATGCCAGACCATTTCTGTTAGCTTTAATATATTTTTCACAGTTACAGGTTATGTAAATATAAACACTGTTTTGTATTTTCCTTATTTAGTAGCTCATTATATAGACATTTTTATATTTGGTCTTCAGAGTTATTTTTAGGAGTTGTTTAACAATAAATAGGTACCAATTATTGAGGACCTTCTGTGTGCCAGGCACATTTATGCTAAGCATTCTATTTGTCATCCTCACAACAGCCATAAGAAATAAATGTTGTTATTCCCATCTTACAGACCAGAAACAAGTTCAGAGAGGGTTAGTGGACCAATAACACATAACTTTTACATAGCAAAGACTAGTTCAGTCTGACCCTAAATCCCCGCTCTTTCCGCAAAGACTATCAGTCTGCCCCTAAATCCCCTCTCTTTCCACTCTGCTCTCCTATCTCTAGCATGAGAACTCATAGTGTTGCAATGCATTTATGAGCCAAAACTTAATGAACTGTATATTTTTTCTGTTTGTCATTAGGTTATTCTCAGCTGAACTGTTTCTCTTACCTTTCCTACCCAGGCATATTTTAATAAATGTACTTTTCCATAGTGTGTATATATATGTGTGTATATACATATTATGATATCAAATGAAAAAATTTTAAGCCTCTATCTTTGTATGTTACTTTGTTATATAATTTTTTGCGTGCAATCATAATGCCTTTTTCAAAGGACATGTTTACTTGTTTTTTTACAGTTATAATAGTTTATTTTTAATTGCTAAGAATCAGAGTTGAAGCATTTTTTAGTTTTTTAATTCCTAACTTATTTCATTATGATTTGAAAATAACTTATACATTCTATTATTTTTTGTTAAACTTTATCTTAATATTTGACATTCATTAGTTGTATCTATCTAGTCAAATATACTAACTTTGACTCCCTTTTTAGTAAGGGAAGAGTGTTACCTCTTTGGTAGAAATCCTATATTTTGTGGTAAAGTAATTCTTGGCCCAGAGGTAATTTAAGAAGGGGTTACCAATTTCTCTAGGCAGTTGACTCTTTAGTAACTAGTTTATTGCTGTTCATAACTTGATTTCTGAGAGCACCTTTTTGTTTTATAGGTCTGGGACCTGCGCCAAAACAAGCTTACCTATACGATGAGAGGCCATGCAGATTCAGTGACTGGTCTGAGTTTAAGTTCTGAAGGCTCTTATCTCTTGTCCAATGCAATGGACAATACAGGTAACTTTGGAAAAGAAAGCACTCTTAAGTTCCTAGTCATTGTGGGTCATAAAGAAAGTAGGCCTTGGGTGCTAGAAGTGTGTGCTGGAATAAATGAGAGTCCAAGGAAAGAATCAGGACAGCTCACAGATTTTCACCAGGACAATTAGGAGGACACATAATAGAAAAAGCTTTAGAAGAAAGAGATGGTCAAAGAGCCAAGATTCTAGTCCCAGAGCTGCCATCTAATCCCTGAGCAGCTTTGCACATAACATTTCTCTAAGCATCAGTTTCTACACTGGTGATATAAGAAGATTGGACTTTACTTTTAAGGCCCATTTTAGCTCTGGCATACTGTGAATTCAAGTAGGGGACAAGAAACTCTTGGCGATTAGTATATTAAAAAAGATGAGAGTCTTAAAATTTATCTAAGACAGTTCTCAGACACTTCAGAGAGCACCAAACTTGGATGATCAGTAGACCTATTGATATCTTCATTGTGCTTTCTGCCAGTATGTCTTCCCTCTCCACTCCAAAGCATTGGTGTGACAAGAGGACCTCATTAAAACATGTCAGCATTCCGAATTTACACAAATACTCTTGTCTGCTTGTTTTTGAGTTGTTATGTGGAAGGATGAGTATTGCAGAAAAAGAGGATGAATTGTTGGATTATATGCTTAATTTATAAGAGTTTGGAAATGCCTCTCTGGTATGTAAGTTCATAGGTTTGTCAGGAGCAAAAATGTTTTCACTGGCATTTTGAAATGAAAACAGTGCATCACACTCAATAGGTGCTCAATAAATATGTGTCGAATGAATTAACATTCTTACCTTCTGACTGGATTCTCAGGTCAATAGCAAACTTTTACACATAACTTCGCCTTCTTAGGCCTCTCTGAATTCAAGGATTGATATTTTTTTCACACTCAAAATGATATCACTCAGATTCCATAGCTTTAATTAACAATAGCCATAGGTATAGCTTTAATTAACAATAGCTGTAGCTACCGCTTAGCGTGGGTATTTATACACATATCCTGATTTTGATGGATTTACCATTAACATTCTGGCATTGGTCACAGTAGAGAAAGATGAGATTCCCTAAATGGTTATTAAAATAAGGAGAACTTCTTGTTATGGCTATATAATAAAATTACAAATTTTTTTATAGCCTCCAATCTTTTAGAGCCCTTTCACCCTTTCACATATATCATCTTATTTGATCCTTAAAATACTTTTATTAAAAAGAAAAATAAAATAAAAAGTGGTATTCTCATTTTACAGAGGAGACCAAAACACAAAGAATCTTACTATTTACCTGATAACACCCATATATAAAGCAGAGCTAGAATTAGAATCAAAGTTCACTTTTTCCGATTCTTGGTGCAGTGCTCTTTTAATATGTTTGACTTTCTTCAAGTTTAGGCTGTCAGGTGCTCATGAGCGAAATTAGAAAAGGTTAGTTCTGAGTTTGTTTTTTATAGACTGAATGTCACAGTAGTCAGTGGTAGTTAGATTGTCATGTCAAAGCTTTGCTAGATGTGACTCTTTGGGTTGGCAGAGGAATCATTTGCAGAATGTTTTGTTGGAAGTTAGTGTCATAGCCAACTACTTAATGTTGTACATCCCTAGCAATATGTTTGACATTTCTCCTTCCTACCCCTTCAGCTTTCGTTTTTGTCCTTAGACCCAGTTAATGGAGCTTGAATGCATTTCATTCCTGTTAGAAAAAGCAAAGAGCCTCTCCAGGTAGCAGTGTACCATGTTGGACCTCCTCCCCTCAGAAAACAGTACCAGTCATTGACATGGTACTGATTTCAGCTGGGTTCTCAGGAGGCTGTGGCTGATAACTATTTTGCTTGGTTTATTTGAATTTGCAGTGCGGGTCTGGGATGTTCGGCCATTTGCTCCCAAGGAGAGGTGTGTAAAGATATTTCAAGGAAATGTACACAACTTTGAAAAGGTGAGTTCTGCACAGCAAAGGAGTTTTACTATTCATTTGATTCAAAGAAACATTTAAGGTGGTGCTAAGGTGCAGTATCTATGTATATCAAATCATTATGTTGTATATCTAAAACTAATACAATGTTATATGTCATTTATATCTCAATTTTAAAAAAAGAGATGGTGCTAAGGGTAGAGAGCGGTAGTCCACTAAGAAGAGGCTATATTCCGGTAACACTGTTCTCCCTCAAAACTGTTCTTCCCAGAAATAAAACTGATAGAAGGATAGAGCAGAAGGCAATCACATAGATTGTGGTGGAGCCAACTCTCAAATTTAGAACTACTGATTTCGACAAGACACTCCTACCCTTTTAATTCCTTAGTAACTTTGACCCTCTTAGGTCAGTGTTCTAAATGGGACCCAGGCTCCCATGGCTGTTAACCAGATGGGCTCCCTCACTCTCCCAGTGACTAGCTCTTAGGCCCTGAGAATACATCTCTACCCTCAGTAAGCGTCACAGCCTAAGTTCTGAGAGACAGAAATTTTTTCTAAACTGTCAAATCCCAGATCAGCTCTTAAAAACAGCTTTTTCTCCAGATAATTTTATATAGAAACTAATATTTTTCTTTTGAGAGCCCATTGAAATTCACTTTCACCTTATAAACCAAATCTTATTTTTTTGTTGGATTTTGTTTTGTTTTTTATTTTCCTTCAAGATAAACACAACATGTTTTTAATGAGGATCAAGATAAATGGAGCAAAGGGAGCTTCCATTTGTAGGCAGAACAAAATTTTGTTGCTAGGTCCGCTCTAAGAATTCAGCATTTTCTACAGTTTTTATATGGTATGAAGTTAAATTCACTTTCACTTTATAAACCAAATCTTATTTTTTTGTTGGATTTTGTTTTGTTTTTATTTTCCTTCAAGATAAACACAACATGTTTTTAATGAGGATCAAGATAAATGGAGCAAAGGGAGCTTCCATTTGTAGGCAGAACAAAATTTTGTTGCTAGGTCCGCTCTAAGAATTCAGCATTTTCTACAGTTTTTATATGGTATGAAGTTATAAAGTATGCTCTCTTGGGCCAAAAAATACAAGATAATTGCTGATCATCTTTTTGGGGAGAATAATTAAAACTACTTAAGAAATTTAAAGTCTCTTAGTGATTCTATAGTCTAATAAAGAAGGGTTTGGTACATTACTGTATTCATTGGATTCCTGCTTATTTATTATTTTAGAATCTTCTGAGATGTTCTTGGTCACCTGATGGAAGCAAGATAGCAGCTGGCTCAGCCGACAGGTAAGGATTACTGGGCTTGAGGTAAAGAATAATGGAGCTATGCAGGTATCTAATGTTTAATACATTAAGTGCGGATACTGAGCTAGAGTAGACATAGAGTTATAGCTGTATTCAGAGATGAAGCCATGTGCAGTATGAAGGTTTTAAAAATCATATCGGACAAACACATCATTTCTACCCTCTTTGGATACATTTTAGACCTAGAGGGTAAACAGTTTCTTTGATTCTGTTGTGTTCCCTTTGCCATCATAACAAAATTCAGACTCATAATCTGACTCCTGTTTTTTTTGTTGTATTCTTCTGCCATGCTTCGGTTCATTCAAATACATATGGCGTGCTCTCCTCCCCCACCATCCCCACAGTGCTTCACTCACATGGAACTCCTTCTCCCTGTTCTTACATCTCTTGTGCCTCCAGGCTTCTCTCTCAGGTTTCTTCTCAATTATCCAAACTCTTATATCTCTCTAGTAATCACCTCTATGTTATGTCTCTAAACTTTCCCTGGCCCTCTCTCTCCCTTACCTCTTGGGCATAACTAATTTCCCTTTGTTCTGAGCTGTAGTCATACTTTGTACATCTAACCTTTATTGGCATTTATTACATCTTACAGTCAGGCAAACAGTGGGGCCCGCTGTTACTTGCTCCTAGAGGTCAGAGAATGATTCTTAGTTATCTGAACCCAGGGTAATGTCGACCTATTCATGAATATTACATGAATGAATTCCTTGCTCAAGGATGGCAGTTAAATTTTGGTGACCTGTACTTCGAAGAGAGTCAGAGGTTAAATAGGGATGTCCAGGTGCCCAGGCTATTGCTTTACCAGATGTGGAATGGTAAAGAATGAGAAAGCCTTCTGATGGCAAACTGTGGATCTAGCTCCCATCTTTCTCGCCCTTTAGAGCAGGGGTCCCCAACTCCTGGGCCATGGACCAGTACAAGTTCATTGCCAGGAAAAATGGACAATTATTTAGCTACTTTCTGCGGAGGGGGAAAGGATCCAGATGCAACAGTGCCACATTGATAGTTTGAGTCCTGATGGTTTAGAGAACTGCCTTGAAAAGAGAATCTAAGGGATTTTCAGTTGTTAGGTTACTAAAGATCTTAAACGGGTCTACAGCCTAAGGTATCTTGCATTCTGACAGAGTAGGCACCATTCTGAGTATGTTTACATTAGAGAGATTGTATCTTATGTAATTAAGCTTTTAAATGATATTTGCCTGTGCTTTTCTTTTGAATAGTTTGTTTCTGACATTAGTCTTTCTGACTTTCAATGTCCCCTCTTTCCTCTTTCCTTCCCCACTGTTCCTTTATACCTTACATGTGGTGGAAGCATGGCTCTGGTCTGGGGAAAGTCTGCTTGCCTACCTGCTAGGGGTTGGCCAGATTTCACAGGCCTCCTTGCCAATTAGCCCCAAATCAGCAAGCAGCTCTGTTATATAAGGAGCCTGGTTCCTACTGAATGTTGCCATGCAAGTAAGGAGAGGACATGGAACCCCTCTAAATTTAGCACCTAATTGGCATCCATGGAGAGTGCAGCCTTGAAGTAAACCTTTGGAGATCTGGGTTTCTGCTGGCCTTTATGTGCCTGGGAAATGTATCCTTCTCAAAAAATTGCTTTTCAGCTTGGCCTGGATTCGGCAGATTTCCCCTCTCTACTTTCAAATCACCTACCTCCTCATATCCAGACTTGAAATCCATCAACAGTCCTATCAAAGACTGCAGGAAAACTGGCCAGTCCTTCTGTTATGAGTGATTTATTCAGCCTATTGATTTCATGTGATTCTGTTTTGAAAACAACTGTATTTGTCATAACAATAGCTATCAATTGTATATGCCAGGCACTTTGCATACGTTATCTTATTATTTCTCTCAACCAAGCTGTGAGATCAATATTGTCTTCATTCTTATAGCTAAGGAAAGAGAAGCCTAGAAAAGTTAAATAAATGTCTAAGGTTACTTAGCTATTTAAGTAGTTGGATTGAGACTTGAACCCAGGTCTTTCTAACTCCAGAGCTCATAGATGTTTTTCACTATGCCACATCGTCCTTCACTGGATTAATGAGGACAGTTATTTGTGCATGGCAGGAAAGAAGACAGTAGGGAGAACATGAGCATCGGAGCCAAGGAGTCTGTAGACATATGGGGTTCCTGCCTCTCTTCCATCTTGCTTGGAACTCATATTTAGTTCCTATGGAGTCCAGCTCTTTTATATAATTAAGAAGCTCTTGTTTATTTGCATTTTAGACCATAAGCGTTTGAGCAGTACTAGGCATTTTATAATCAAGTACTGGTGAGTATACCCTTTTAGGTGTAGACTGAACAAAACAAATAATGTACATAATTGAATAACCTGTTTGAAAACCACCAGCCCTTTGAATTTACCAACAGATTATTTTTTGCATGGTCTTATGAAGATAATATCTCTGTTTTACCTTAAGCTTAAAATGACCCAAGCAAGGTTTAGGGTCAGAGGAACTTCTTTTTGGGGGGGCAAGTGGGTCAAGGTGTTTGCGGGTGGTAAGAGAAAGAATACTGGAATATATTAAGAGTTCTAGTTTTAGTTCTGCCACTGATGAACCGTGTCACCTTGGAAAGGTCATTGTACTTTAGTTTTCTTAATCTGTAAAATGAGTTTAGACTAGCCGATTTCTGTTGGCTCTTTCCCATGCTAGAATTTCATATTCTTTCTGTTCATGAATTCAGTGCAAGATTTGGGTCAGTGTATATTTGGGTTATGTTTAGATAGCACAGATTTCCTGTTTCTTCTCTGGGCTCTGTGATTTGAATACAATACTGAAAAATTCAAATGGATCTACAACCTAGGCTCCCAACCTGCCATGAAATGAATTACCTTTAAGACATTCCTGGATGCATATGAGGTTAACTACAGCTTAATTATATTGGATGATCTTTGAGAAAGATTTCTCTGTGGGGTCTGTAGGAAAAACTTTGTCTTTTTCTTGTTCTTCCCTTTTTCAGAAACTTGTGTTTGAAAATACCAGTAATGCTTATAAATTTGGCGATTCCTCTTTCTCTACTCAGTTGCTTACGGTCAGGGTCCATGCCATATTCAAAATCAGTAATCCTAGTTTCTAAAAGTCAGAATACAGTTCAGTAAATATAGGGTGAATAAATAAATTGTTCCTCTCATTTCTCATAAAAAGCCATGCTTCTACTTTACTCTCAGCTCTGGGAGGCCTTAGCTTTGCTCTTCATGATACCTTGCAGGTTTGTGTATGTGTGGGATACCACAAGCAGAAGGATTTTGTATAAGCTGCCTGGCCACGCTGGCTCCATCAATGAAGTGGCTTTCCATCCCGACGAGCCTATCAGTAAGTCTGTTCAGACTGTGGGGGAAGGGAAACTATGGGAAACTTCTGACAGGGGCCCTGAGAATACAGAGGCAGAGTTGGATGTCTGTTTTCTGTGAATGTCCATGCAGATTGTCTTTATCGGTGTCACTGACGGGTCTCACCATTATTCTAAGTAGTAAGGGTAAGCCCAGTGTTTTATTTTCTTCTCAGTCTCAGAAGGAGCTTGATTAGTCTAGTTCTTGTGAGTTTACTTGTTTCAAGTCTGTTTCAGTGAAGTATTTGGATAAAAGAATGATATTTCTTAATACTCATTTAAATTGTAACTTAACTCATTTTATTGGCTAGCTAAACTAAATAATGGGCCGCGAATTTAAGGAGAAAATGTAACTTTCTCCAGGGCTAAGCACATTTACAAAATGACTGGCACAGACATTGATTCTGCTCTTCTATAATGACTTAGAAGGTTTTTTTCTTAGGGTTTAACTGACAGGAGACATCAGAATTTAGAGACTGATCATGTATTCCCCCATAGCACAGTTCACCCTCATGGTTTTGAGAGGACGTGGATCGAAAAGCCAGGCTACAGTTTCCTGTGAATGGTGTTTTAAGAGGAGGGGGATTTAAGCTAAATCCAATGCTCTTTTATACCAAAATTGGCTCTTGACATAAGAGCCCTTGAACACCAACTCTCCTTGAGCCTTCATTATTTCCAGTTATCTTCTCTGTTCTTTTCACCTCAGTTCTCTCAGCATCCAGTGACAAGAGACTATACATGGGGGAGATTCAGTGAAGATAAGAAATGGAAGACTCCAAGGCTGCTTGACCTTGAGACTTCAGACTGCATCGTGGCATCATATGGTGCCCAGGCCAGTATCTTCCCTTCAGATGAATATCATTACTAGCAGGAAACTAAGAAGAGATGGCCATATTCCAGCAACCACATGTATCCAGTTTCAACAGAATGATTAAGGCAAGCTTACAGTGGCCTCTGAAAACCACCTGCCAGATTTCAGGGACTCTTTGGTTTTTTCCTTTTGTTTTATTTTGTTTTGTTTTGTTTTGTTTTCTTCAAAGGGACAGATATTGTTTGGTTTGTAGTTTCCTATTTTCTAATTCAGGCCGAAGCCAGAGAACGTGACTGAAATTTGTTGGGGATTTTTTTTTTTTAATTCAATAACTGCATTGTATATTTTCTTTCTGTGTTTCTCTGAGTCATTTTGTATTAAAAGCCAAATAGATGCCTTTTTACAAGAGCCATATAGATTGGATTTATTGCTGTCCTTTCTTTGCTGCTTGATCACTAAATTTGAGCAGGACATAATATGGACGGGGGATACATCCAGTTAAACTTCCGAGAAGCTGTTTACTGGGATGTTGTGGGCTTTTTTCCCCCTTTTCTGTGTTTTTGTGGGTTTACTCACTCATGAAAATGACAAACAGAATAATTATCAGTAGCAAATACTGCTCTCCTGCTAGAAACATAGTAGTAAAGAGGTGATAAATAGGTCTGAAAGAATCTGGTTCTTGTTTACTTTTGCATGATCTTTAATGAACAGGGTTTTTGTCTACTCTGCCTCCTGCCCAAAAACACTTCTAAGCAGTAATCCCTACACTGAGGGTTCCTACAGTGGGTAGATTTGGGGCTGTCTCAGCTGGCAGAAATGACATTGGCTGGAAGGCTGCATCAAACTCAAAAGGAATATGAGAAAGTTTCAGTGTAACTGGGCCATGACATTGAGATTTGTTTGTGATTTTGCTTGCCTGTCTCTCTTTCCTAAATTGACAGGGTTATTAAGAAATGCTATTAGTTGTCTTTTATCCCCAAGACAGATTACTGTCTTCCTGAATCACTGGGTGACTATGGCTAGCACGCAAACCAGCACTAATAGATTCTACCTGACACTAAGGAGTGGCGTGTGTCTTTTCTGAATCTCATATCGCAACACAAAGGTCTTCACACCTCTAACCTGTTCTGAACATGATTGGTTTTATACTTTTAGCTCACAAACCTGAATCATCTATGTATCTTACAGAGAGAAAGGATGGTTTTAAGTGAGCACATGTCCAATATTTAACTCATTGATAAAGGAACCAACAGGATGTTAAAGCTGTCAGATCAGTTACTTTTAACACAGTGAATGAAGTTTGAATAAAATATATTGGAAACATCAATTTATTGTGCCTGGGAGAGTTAAGGAAGTTTCACAGATAATGTGATAATGCTTAAATTGGGAGTTAGAGAATAAATAGGACTTTTTCAGGTGGACAAAGAACGTGTGCGTCAAACTTATGCATGGTTAGAGGTGGGAGCAGCATGTAGTAAAGTTATAGAATTAAGTAGGAGCAAAATCCTGGAGAGCTTGTACTTATGTACTTGATCCTGTAGGGTGAGGTTTCCTAAAGTGTATTCCACAGAACAGTGTTTCTCAAGTATGTTAGATACATTGGTGCATAAAAATTCCATGCTCAAGTAAATTTGGGGAAGCCTGTGTCAGATAAAGTCAAACAGGTTTCTTTACTGGAGGACTGCTTAGAGCCTTTACTGTACAAAGTGTAGTGGGATCTTCAGAGGGAATGGTGACTCAGATTTCAGTCCTGAACAATAATTATATATAAGGTCATGACTTCAACCAGGAGAGATTTGGCAAGAGATGTTTTGCAAGCTGCTCCTCACACCTCTAGCACTATGACAAGTTACTCCCTAATCCTTATGAATATCCACATACCTCACAATTGGTCCATTACCTTCCACTCACCCTTTTTCTTGGCTTGAGGTAAAACAAGGCTTGAACCTTGACGTTGCACTTTTAAAAACCTACCAATCCCTTGAGATGTTGGCAATGAGTGGGAAGAACCAAAGCCCTGGAGACTGTAAGGGCTTCCCTCTAATCTTAGCATCTTCACTCCTCCCAAGTGCCTTTTTCAAAGGCTGAGTAGAAGCCATTAGGAGGAGATGACAGCACCACTTAGACTTTGAAGGAAATAGAGGCCCCAACCTGGAGAATAAAGGTTTGAATATAAAACATCCCCAGAGGGTGCAAATTGTATTCTCACTTTGGGAGAGATAGATTGTTCCCGAATGAGTAATGGCATCTCTGGTTTTCAGTTAATTTCCCTTTATGATTTCCACAGTCTCTAGCACTTAATACTGTTAGCACTTAAAAGAGCTAGATTTTTTTTTCTAGGTGGTTGAGTTTTGTGGACTGAATTGTCAGGGAGGTGGATTTGGACAGCTCAGGGCTCTTGTCAGAGTTGCCTCTTCACAGCATAACTATAGTTATTTGTTTCTCACAAATAGACCTAGAGTCTGCTACTTGTTAACAGTTAAGGTGTGTGGATGGGAAACTGAGGTCAGTGAGAGCTCTGAGCAATTTGAGGCTGTAGGCAATTGAGCCAGAGGAAAAGGCTGTCAGGCCATTTGAGTTAGAGCAGGATTGCTCCTTCCAAGAGACTTTAAGTCTTGACAGCTGTGTCTCAGGACAGAGGGATGGGCCAGGCTTAAAAGCCTCATTCCTGTGGGACCAAATGAAGCCAAGTCTGATTTCTGAGACTGCCTTCTGGTCAATTGTCTCTGTCCCCAAGACCCATAATGATCCTTCGAAAAAGTGCTGCATCAAGCCCTGAGCTATCCCAAAGTCTCTTTTCTTCTAGACTTCAGCTTTTCTCAGTTGCATCTGCAACCCACCTAGACTCTTAGATTCTTTTCAATTTATATCCTCTAGAGCAGTGGTCGCCAACCTTTTTGGCACCAGGGACCAGTGCTGTGAGAATCTAATGCCTAATGATCTGAGGTGGAGCTGAGGCGGTGATGCTAGCGCTGGGGAGCAGCTGCACATACAGATGAAGCTTAGCTTGCTCACTTATTACTCACCTGCTGTGCGGCCTGGTTCCTGAGAGGCCCCAGACCATACTGGTCCATGGCCCTGGGGTTGGCGACCCCTGGTCTAGAGCGGTAGTTCTCAACTCTGGGCAATTTTACCACCTAAAGGACATTTGGCAGTGTCTGGAAACATTTTGATTGTCACAACTGGAAGGATGCTATGCACATCTTATGGGTAGGGGCCAGAGGTGCTCAAAGAACAAATGCCCCAAAATATCCTTAGTAGTGCTGTTGAGAAACCCTACTCTAGAACTGTGATTCTCAAAATGTAGTCTTGAACAGCATCAGTGTCACATGAGAAATTGCTAGAAAAGCAAATTCTAGAGCCCCACCTGAGACCTACTGAATCAGAAATTTTGGGGAAAGGAAGTATTCAGCAGTCTGTTTCAACAAGCCCTCCAGGTGATTATGCTGCAAATTTGAGAACCACTGCTCTTCATGCACAGAAAGTTTTTGTCTTTCCTAGGAACCTTTTCTGTTTATTCATTAATAGTTGTCCCTATCTATGTTCTTTTGGGCTTAGTGCTGTACATTAATTATCTCACTTGGTTGTTACATATGGGGATAATGGGACAACAGGTTCAAAGAGAAGTAACACCCAAGATCGACCAACCGTTAAATGGCAAAGCCAGGATGTAAACCCAGCTGGAGCTCTTATCATCACCACGATGTAGGCCTTAGTGGCTTTCAGCCTTAGAATGCACGTAGAATCACCTTGGGAGCCTTTAAAAGTCCAGATACTTAGATCATACCCCAGACCAATTAAATCAGAATCTCTGGGGTGAGAATCAGTAATTTTTTAAGCTTTAGTGATTGCAATGTGTAATCAAGGTTGAGAATACTGGTATTAGCCATAGTTATGACCTGCCGGAAGGGCAGTATAAAGCCACAATGACTTCCTCTGCTACCCCAGGCTCTCAAGGAAACCAGTGCTCTAACACATGCTGTGGGTGAGCTTAAAATTAGAGAGCAGAAGCTGATCCACTGTGGTCTTCTCTACCTGGAGAGACTATGGGGCTTTGTATAGAAAAATACCATTGACCTTTCTTCAAAGACTCAAGTATAGCATCCAAAGGGGCTAGGGCTACAAAGGACCTTACTTAGGTCATCTAGTCCAACCTCCTTTTACAGAAGGGGAGACTGGGAGAAGATATGGTTTTCCCAAGGTCACATGCATATTGTTAGTGGTTTTGCTCATTCAGGGAGCATTTATTCAACACTCCTCTGTGCTGGGCTCTGAGAATACAGAAACAACTGAGTCATAGCCTCTGGAGGTTCACAGTGGGAACAGAAACAAAAATCAGGGCTTCTCAGACTTTCCTATAAGTGTCCTTAATGGCAGAGGAGAATGAACTGGAACAGGAAAGACTCCTGAAATTAACAGCTTTGAAATTTTACCATGAATCTTTAAGCTCTATGATTCTCCCAACTTTCTATTTTGAAAATTTTCAAACAAAAATTATCTATATAAAGACAGTCCCTGACTTAATGATGGTTCAACTTAAAATTTTTCCACTTTACAATGGTACAAGAGCATTTCACATATAGTAGAAACCAAACTTCAAATTTTGGATTTTGATCTTTTCCTGGGCTAGTGATACATACAATATATACAGTATGATACTCTCATGATCCTGGGCAGTGGCAGCTCCCAGTCAGCCACACAGTCATGAGGATAAACAACTGATACTCTACAGTGGTATTAAATGCATTTTCGACTTAGGATATTTTCAACTTATGATGAGTTTATCAGGATGTAAACCCCATCACATGTTGAGTATCTGTATGTCCCACCTAGATTCAATAATCTGTCTCTCACACACATACGTAACTTTCAATTACTATTGGAAGATGGTAACGTAATTCTTTACTCTTAAATATTCCTAAATACTTTAGCAGGTACCTCTTAAGAATGTTCTCTTTTATAACCACAATATCATTCCCACACCTAAGAAAATTAACAGCAATTCCATAATACCATCTAATGAGCCAATTAAAATTTCTTCTATATAATGTCTTCTATAGCTATTTTTTTCAATCTAGAATCAACAAGCTTCATGCATTTGGCTATTCTGTCTCTCCAATGTCTCTTTAATCTTAAACAGTCTCCTTACCTTTTTTCCCAGTGAAATTGACTATTTAAATGTATGTGGTTTGTGTGCTGCTTCATAAAAATAGTTGTGCTTGTTTTATATTAATAAATGTTTTAAATCACTGAGCACCAAGTAGAATTGACATTTCAGAAAGATGTACTGCATTTATTTGTGCTCTGTGTCTTCTCATGTACATGTTTTAGAAACATCTAAATAAGGAATTCAAATACAATCTAATACATACTGTCGGAGGTATACCTACAAACTAGAGGCAGTGCCTAAGGAGCA